TTTTCTTAAACTACATCATCCTGTTCCTTTCCTCCAGTGTCAGTGGAGGATTGATTGCTTTATTTTACTATCACTCTACTCCACTATTAATTCTGTTTTCAGTATACTCTATCTCAGAACATTTTTCTTGGCAGTGAATCTCAAACATCAAGCTATGAATAATTATACATAGTATGTTTGGAATAAAGAGGTGAGCTTCAGAAGAGGATTAAATTTTTTTTAAAAATCATTCTATCTTTTAGATTTCATCAGGTTCTCACTAAATTCACCTAAAGTATTATCTTATCCCTTGTAGCAATTTTATTTACTGCTATGTCTTTAAAAAGTAGGGAGGGGAGTAAGGAGCTATTAATCTCTGTGCTTCTACTGTAGGCATTGGACTTCTCCATTCTATGCCAATTAAAACAACTTCACACACAAATTAAGTAGAAGTAAAATCTATTAAATATATTTTAAAGCAATCCCATGGTTTTATAAAGGTCTTGGCCATAATTTCTCTGTTGCTGTAAAGAGGCAACCTTATTTTAGCAAAGTATATTTTTAATTCAACATCTGGATTCTGTATAGAAAAATTAACAAGGAAATATGTGAGATTCCTACAATGGAAGACTTTTCACATATTGCAAGCAACGCATCTCCATCCTACTTTATAGTAATACTGATGTGGGCATAAAGGAAAGACAGGAAGAGGATGACTAGATACCGGGTGATTTATACATTATCTTATTAAATCATGAAACAACTCAATGAAAAATTATTACCCTGCTTTAATGATGAATAAAAGTTATTACATCAAAGAAGCGATTATTCAAATTTATTAAAATCTACTGCAATTCAATGGCTGCATTACAATTCAAACCCAGGTTTATCTGACTAAAGCTCATGTTCTAGCTCCCAACACTGGACCTTGTGGGATCTGAAGATGAGAGGCAGAGTGGGAGAAAGACCTTGCAAAGTCTAAGCATTTACAAAACAGTGTAGCTTTTATGGTACAAGGTAGAGGAGAGGTGATTGCTCTCAGAGATCTGGGATGCCCTTGGGTAATGATGTCCATTAGGCCATAGAAACGCTTCTGTCAAAAGTGGTCTTTGGGAGGCTGAGGTGGGCGGATCACCTGAGGTCAGGAGTTTGAGACCAGCCTGACCAATGTGATGAAACCCCGTCTCTACTAAAACTAGAAAAATTAGCCTGGTGTGGTGGCATGTGCCTGTAATCCCACATGCTTGTGAGGCTGAGACAGGAGAATCACTTGAAATGGGGAGGTGGTGGTTGCAGTGAGCCAAGATCGCGCCATTGCACTCTGTCCCAGGCAACAAGAACAAAACTCTGTGTCAAAAAAAAAAAAAAAAAAGTGGTGAGGCATTGCTGGGCGAGAGTAGCACAGAAAGCCCAGTGATGTGATGACAATATGAAGATCACCAACGAAGACTTGTGCCTATTTGTCTATTTTGAATGCTGCTTTAGCTACCCTATAATTATCTTGATGATGAATGACCAGAAATTTGCCATCCTGATGATTTGAATCATGTCAAAAAGAAATGAAGTGTCTACTCTAAAGAGTTAGGAAATTAATCTTGTAGTAGAAAATTGAAATCTTTTTTATTTCTTTTATGCAATTCACTTGGCATACTTTATTTGAATGAAGTTTATTAATAGTTGATTATCAGTACATAAGAAACTGCTGCTAAAAGTTACGCTGGCTTTCAAAACTTTGCAAAACCATTTATGCCATTAGAAAGTACCTGAAAACAATTTTTGTACTTTTAGAAAACAATACACTAGGAAATCAAATAACAATAAGTTGTTGCAAATAGAAAATCACCTCATTTTCTGTGTTACCTTCAGCAAAGTCATGTTTGAAAGTCTGTGCATGTAACAGTGGTGGTACACAGCCTATCAGAGTTGTTTCTCAGACTGAAAAGCACAGCTGGTCTGATTGGGGTCACTGCATGTAATTAGCTTGCTTGCTTCATGAATGAATGGCAGATTTATTTTATTCTAAATGATATTTTAATTTTCACTGATTAAATTACATTTTATTTTGGTTTGGAAGGTTCGCCCTCACCATGTAAAGCAACCATGTCCTGCAGTTGTCACTAAGTTAACACCATAAGTATGTTTAAAAGAATTGTTGGCTAAGCATGGTGGCTCATGCCTGTAATCTCAACACTTTGAGAGGCCAAGACGGAAGGATTGCTTGAGCCTCAGAGTTTGAGACCACCCTGGGCAACATAGCAAGACCTCCATCTCTACAAAAAATAGATTGAAAAATTTAGCCAGGCGTGTTGGCACACACTGTAATCCCAGCTACTCGGAAGGCTGAAGCAGGAGGATTACAGGAGGAATTGCAGCTTGCAGTGAGCCACGGTTGTACCACTGCACTCCAGCCTGGGTGACAAAGTGTGACCCTGTCTCAAAAAAATATATATATATTGTGACAATAAAATATTGATGATGCATATATACAAGCAGCATGTTGGAAAAACGGTATCTCTGTTTTCCCATAAAATGGAATTGCACCCCAAATTTTCAGAAAGTCTTTCCTAAGATTGGTACACAAAGGAAATCTGTTCAGTTCCTTGAATTACTGACTCTACATCAGGAATTGAAATGTGTACTCTAATGTTCTTGCTCTGATCTCTCATTTGACTGTTTATTGAAGCTGATTACAGTTTGAATACACAAATCCCTTTAGCTTCAAAAGTATCTAAAATAATGGATAATAGAGCATTTGAAGAGATTGTTTCTTATTGCAATTTGTCTTTCTGATTGTGATGCGGCTATTAGGTTTGATAAGAAAATCTGGCTTTATGTTTTGTTTCCTCAGTAAGAATCAGTCTTCTGTCAAATTGGATTAAAGTTTTTGTTTCAGCCCAACTTGCTCACGCAACTAAGCAAGAGCTGTTTTGGTGAACATCAAGAGAGGTCATTACGAACAAATGAAACTTACTTTATTCCACTAAACACAATTTAGAAGCTTACGCTTTTTGAAAAGCTGTATGTGTTTTCTTTATTGAATATAGCATTGGAATATAATAAATTATTAGTTGACCGACTCAGTTAAACATTATATATTATATCACTTTAAGAATGTTGAGATCTTCAGATCCAGAATTTTCAAAGGTTATTTATCTATTAAGTTTCTACTGATTATTGGAGGCACCATGCTAAGTATTTTGTACGTGTTAACAGATGCATCTGCCTAAAGTCACAGAGATAATTTAAATGGCAAAATCAGGAATCGAATACAGATCTCTGGCATCTTGTTCTACTCTAGTGTGTTTTTAAGTGTCATAAATCGTTTACTTTAACTTCTAAAATAGTCTAGAAATTCCTTCTTCTAGTCTACCTTAATCTCTGTACTTTGTAAAGAAAAAGCAAAGATATGTGAGGGCAATTGGAAAAATACCCTTCCTGAAAATAGTATGCATTGTAGTGCTTTTGTTATTTCGCCTAAACAAACTTTATGTATTCCTGGAATTGTTTCTGGAAGCAAATCGTCTTTTATGCAGGGCATCTCAGAGCACATTTTTATAAAACATTATGTTCACGCTGGAGCCTTTTCAAAGTAAAATCATAGAATATTCATTCTGTTTTTTAATATAGTTATCAATTGACCCATAAGTTTATACAAACAATCTGGCGTACAAAAAGGGAAAGGAAAGAAGGAAAAAAATATCTGCTGCCACCTGAAATGATCCCTGTTAAATCCTGAAAATCCTGGGAAAGAGTGGCAACATGACACTGGGTTATGACTTTGCAGATACCATGCAAACCTTTGAAAGAACACTGTCTTGAGGTTGTAAAACATAAACTAGCCTAAGCTGTTCTATTGTGTTGTAAGTAGTGATAGAGATACTAACAGTTTCCAAGTGACCATGGGTTTTATTTCATGCACAGTTCCCATTTTTTATAATCAATTTGCCCTGCTCCACTATGTCTCCTAAGTTCTCCAAATGGCCCCACATGTGACCCAAAGAGGAATGATAATAAAAAGACAACTTCTTCTTTCACTAGTCCCAGGGTTTATTTTTTACATTTTAATTTTTTTGTGTCCTGTTGCTCAGTGATTTTCAAACTGTGGGTCACAAACCATTAGTGAGTCATGAAATCAATTTAGCAGGTCCCAACAAATGTTTTAAAATCTAATAGATAGACTAAAAATATCAAAGAGCAATGCATGAAATAAGAGTATCTTCAAAACTTTCATGTCAAACATATATTAATATGTATGGAGGTATGGGGAAATGGGTGGAGGTAAAGTAATACATAATTCCTAGAATGCTTACTTATCCAAAAAAAAAAAAAATGAAGTCACGGCCATACTTTCAGTGATGGAGTTCCTACGTTATTTTAAGCAATTTGAAATACTGATTTAATCTCCTCAAATTTGACCTTTGGGTTTGCAGCAGATCACAATTCTTTATTTTTAAATAAAAATGATAGCAAGCAAATGGGTATATTATTACATTCCCCCTTTTCAGAACAGACCATGATCTATTCACCTGTGGTTTAGTATGAACTATTGAAATGAGTTCAAAATTCTTAACGTAACTGAGGAATGTCACATACCATTTCTGTTTAGGGCTTTTTTCTTTTTTTTTTTTTTTTTGACGTAGTGTTTACGCCTTTGCTTGAGGGAATTATTTTCAACTAATTGTTGGCATTTAAACACTGACACATCTAATGTAAATATGAAGCTAGTGTTTTCTTTTCTCAGGTTAATGTGACTGCATTAAAGAAAGTTTTTCAGAATCCAAAATTTTTGATTAGATAATATGTCTTGCCTGTGTCAATATAATAAGATCCACTTAATTAAAATTAAGTAGAATCATTTAAATCATGTATCTATGACATCCATAGATTTGACATAAGCTTCTGGTTGTAGTACAATAGAATTAATAATGAAAATAAGTTATGTTATTTAGGGCAGATGTTGCTTGAAATAGTGTAACAGCTTATCACTTATCTCATATACTTTTATTTTCTTGCACTTTCAGCCAAAATTGACCAAGAGGCAGAGGAAAATTCACTGACAGAGACTCATAAATGGTGAGAAATTACTTTATTTCCTCCCAGAATAGGCTTATAACATGCTAAGTGTATTTCATCTTAAGGAACCAATTATTAGTTACATTTTAATTTTCAAGCATAAAATAAAAAGACATCTAATAAAACAGTGTACTCTAAATCCACAGTGAATTTCTGAATTTTTGTTACTCTGGGTAACATATAGTTCTGTTAAATACCAAATTATTGTGACTAGCTTACATGGGATTTAGAACTATGGAATCTCTTTTACATGGGATTTAGAACTATGGAAATACACAAAAGAATGAAGATAGCAAGAACCTGTTTCAGAGTTCAGATAATTTTAAAAAACTATGTAATTTCCGTATTCAAAAGTGAAGTCTAAGTAGGGAGCAATGAGCTTTCCTTGGATGCACCTTCATTTCCAGAATGGAGACTTTCAATTATGGGTAAACATAGAAAAGTAGCTCAGAAATCTCCCTGCTTCTCTGTCTCCATTTTCTCTTCTCCTCCCATCTCTCTATATCCGCCAGGCTTCTCTAGAAAAAAAGGACACACTGGCGATACAGATATAAACACACACACACACACACACACACACACACACAGGCTACCTCATTTTATTGCACTTCTCTTTGTTGTGCTTTGCAGATAATTGTATTTTTTTTTCCCCACAAATTGAAGGTTTGTGGCAACTCTGCTTCTAGCGAGCCTATTGGTGCCACGTTTCCAGCAGCATGTGCACACCTCATGTCTCTGTGTTACATTTTGGTAATTCTTGTAATATTTCAAACTTTTTATTTTTATTATCTGTTACCATAGGTGATCTGTGATCAGTGATCTTTTATGTTACTATCGTAATTGTTCTGGGACACCATGACCTGACCCATATAAGATGGCAAATGTAATAGAAAGATATTGTATGTTCTAACTGTTCCACCAACCAGCTGCTCCCTTGCCTCTCCCCTCTCCTCAGGCCTCCGTATTCCCTGAGACACAACAATATTGAAATTAGGTCAATTAATTACCCAACAGTGGCCCCTACATATTCAAGTGAAAGAGTCACACATCTCTCACTTTAAAACAAAATCTAGAAATGGTTAACTTAATGAGGAGGATATATCCAAAACCAAGATATGCTCAAAGCTAGATCTCTAGTGCCAAACTGTTAGCCAAGTTATGAATGCAAAGAAAAAGCTCTTGAAGGAAATTAAAAGTCTATTTCAATGAACACATGAATGATAAGAAAGCAAAACAGCATTCTTGCTGCTATGGGGAAAGTTTTAGTGGTCTAAACAGAAGATCAAACCAGCCACAATAGTCTGTTACCAAAATGCCAGGGGTTTGGTTTAGCACAGCTACTTGCCACACAGAAAGCCAGTCACTGAGATGAGTATTGCCAGGGAAGAAGGCTTTAATCGGGTGCTGCAGCCAACGGCGATGGGAGCTCAGTCTCAAATCCATCTCCCTGACTGACTAAAAGTAGGGATTTATATAGCAGGGAAGAAATGTAACCATGTATGGGAGAGTAGGAATTAGGGAGGGGTAAGGAAGAGGAGGTAGTCAGCAACAAGCAGCTGGTGGGTTAGGCAGTCACAGTGGGTGAAGGGTCTGGCATCTCATTGTCCAGATGGAGTGATCTGGTGAGTTTCAGTTCCTCTATGCTATATTGAAAGCCTGATGGTTGGTTTCCTGAGAAAGGAACTCAAAAAAGACAAATGTAACTTTCTCAAGTTTCAAGACTGGGAAGATCAATTTCTATGTTTATTCAAATTAAGTCATAAACATCAGTTCTGTGGGACCATTGAACCTGTTTCAATTCCCTTAAACCAAACCCTAATCCAGAGCAAGGCCCTAACGCTCTTCAATTCTATGAAGGGTGAAATAGGTGAGGAAACTGGAGAGGAAAAGTTTGAGGACAGTAGAAGTGGGGTCATGAAGTTTAAAGAAAGAAGCCTTCTCCGTAACAAAAAAGTGCAAGGTGAAGCAAGAAGTGCTGATAGAGAAGCTGCAAGTTCTCCAGAAGATCTAAGGTAATTCATGAAAGTAGCTAAACAACATATTTCCAATGTAGATGAAACATCTTCTGTTGGAAGAAGATGCCATGTAGGACTTTCGTAGCTAGACAGAAATCAATGCCTGACTTTAAAGCTTCAGAGAACAGGGCCGGGCATGGTGACTCACGCCTGTAATCCTAGCACTTTGGGAGCCCAAGGTGGGTGGATCACCTGAGGTCAGGAGCTCGAGCCCAGCCTGGCCAACATGGTAAAATCCCTTCTCTACTAAAAATACAAAAATTAGCCCGGCATGGTGGTGCATGCCTGTAATCCCAGCTGCTCAGAAGGCTGAAGCAGGAAAATTGCTTTAACCCAGGAGGCAGAGGTTGCAGTGAGCTGAGATCACGCCAGTGCACTCCAGCCTGGGTGACAGAGCGAGACTCGGTCTCAAAAATAAATAAGTAAACAAATGTTTTAAAAAGTGAAACTTCAAAAAACAGGATGAATGTCTTGTTAGGGCATAATGTAACTGGTAACTCTTAGCTGAAGCCAGTGCGCACTCCCCATTCTGAAAATGCTAGGGCCCATAGGCATTATGTCAAATCTCTTCTGCCTGTGCTGTATAAATGGAACAACAAAGCCTGCACATCTGTTGATAGCATAGCTTACTGAATATTTTAAACCCACTGCTGAGACCCATTGCTCAGAAAATAGAAAAGATTCCCTTCAAAATATCACATCTCATGGACCATGCACTTGGTCACCCAAGAGCTCTGCTGGAGATGTACAAAGAGAATCATGTTTCAATGCCTGCTAAAACAACATTCATTTTGTAGCTCATAGAGCAAGGAGTACTTTCGACTTTCAAGTCTTATTATTTAAGAAATACATTTGGTAAGGCTATAGCTGCCATAGGTAGTGATTCCTTTAAGAGATCTGGGTAAAGTAAATTGAAACCTTCTGGAAAGGATTCACCATTCTAGATGCCATCAATAACATACATAATTCATGGAAGCAGGTCAAAATATCAACGTTAACAGGAGTTTGGAAGAAGTTAATTGTAACCCTCACAGATGGTTTTGAGGATTCCAGGACATCAGTGGAGAAAGTAACCGCAAATGTGGTAGAAATAGAGAATTAGAGGTAGAGTCTGAAGATGTGACTGAGTTGCAGCAATCTCATAATAAAACTTGAACAGATGAGGAGTTGCTTCTTACGAATGAGCAAAGAAAGTAGTTTCTTGAGATGGAATCTACTCGTGGTTAAGAGCTATGAACGTTGTTGAAATCACAACAAAGAATTTAGAATATCACATAAACTTAGTTGACAAAGCAGGAGCAGGGTTTGAGAGGATTGACTCCAGTTTTGAAAGAAGCTCTTCTGTGAGTAAAGTGCTATCAAATGGCATCATATACTACAGAGAAATCTCTTGCGAAAGAGCGAATTGATGTGGCAGATTTCATTGTTGTCTTTTTTTAAGAAATTGTCACAGCCACCCCAGCCTTCAGCAACCACCATTCCAATCAATCAGTAGTCATCGACATCAAAAAGATACTGCGGTCACTGAAGACTCAGATAATCGTTAACATTCTTTTAGTAACAAAGTATCTGCTAATAAAGTATATATTTTTTCAGACATAATTCTGTTGCATACTTAATAGACTGTAGTATAATGTAAACATAACTTTTATATGCACTAGGAAACCAAAAAATTCATGTAACTCTATTACAATATTCATTCCCTTTATTGCATTGGTCTGGAACCAAAGCCACAATATCTCTGAGGTTTTCGTGTGTGTGTATATATGTGTGTGTGTGTGTGTGTGTGTAAAGAAAGATAGAGAAACTTATTTTAAGGAATTGACTCATGCGATTGTAAAAGTTGGCAAGTCTAAAATTAGCAGGGCAAGGTGACAGTTCCGGTAGGAGTTGATGTTGCAATCTTTTTTTCTTCTCTTTATAAATTTTAACTTTTATTTTAGATGAAGGGGTACACGTGCAGGTTTGTTACATGGGTATATTGCATGACACTGAGGTTTGGAATCTAAATGATCCCATCACCCAGGTATTGAGCGTAGTACCCAATAGGTGGTTTTTGAGCCCGTGATCCCCCTGCATTGTTCAGTAGCCCCAGTGTCTGTTGTTCCCATCCTTATGTCTATGTGTGATCAGTGTTTAGCTCCCACTTACAAGTGAGAATAGGCAGTATTTGGTTTTCTGTTCTTGCATTAGTTCTCTTAGGATGATGGTTTCCAGCTCCATCTGCATTCCTGCAAAGGACACGATTTCACTCATTTTATAGTTGCGTAGTATTCCATGATGTATGTGTACCACATTTTCTTTATCCAGTTCACTGTTGATGGGCAACTGGATTGATTCCATGTCTCCACTATTGTGAATAGTGCTGCGATGAACATACAACTGTGTGTGTTTTTGATAGAATGCATTATTTTCCTTTGGGTATATACCCAGTAGTTGGATTGCTGAGTTGAATGGTATTATAGTTCCGTTTTCAGTTCTTTGAGAAATCTTCAAACTGCTTTCCACAGTGGCTGAACAACTTTGCATTCCCACCAACAGTGTCCAAACATTCCCTTTTCTGTACAGCCTTGCCAACATCTGTTACGTTTTGACTTTAATAATTGCCATCCTGACTGGTGTGAGATAGTATCCAATGGTGATTTTGATTTGTATTTTTCTGATGATTAGCGATGTTGAGCATTTTTCCATGTTTTTCGGCTACTTGTATGTCTTCTTTTGAGAAGTGTCTATTTATGTCCTTTGCCTACTGTTTTAATTGGATTGTTTTTGCTTGTTGATTTGATTAAGTTCCTTGGAATATTGCAATCTTGAGTCTGAAGCAGTCTAGAGACAGAATTCTTTCATATTCAGGAACCTGAGTCTTCAGGTCTTCAACTGATTGGAGGAGACCCAGCATGTTTTAAAGGGAAATCTACTTTTTTCAGTGCCTAGTAATGTAAGTGTTAACCACACCTAGGCCAGGCACAGTGGCTTATGCTTGTA